TACAGGAAGATCAAAGAACTGGTTTTTCTAACATGCAGATTTTACTCTATTGTTATGAGAGTGCTACCTTGTATTTCAAAGAAAATATGACTAGTTACTGTTTATATTGACAAGAAAATGCAGAGTGAAAACTACGTCTGGTGATTACAAATGGCACTGTTTATTGTAATACAGCATCTTGATCTCTTTGTACCTTCCAATGTCATAATTTGCAAAGGAATTTGATTTCTGTTGAGAATAGGATTTTGGTTTTGATTGAAAATGTTTTATTTTAAAACTCAGTTCTGCCTATCTGAGGGGGAAAGGAGAAGAATTCCAGTTGTTTTTCTATGATCTCCTCCCAGAAGGAATCTTCTTCCTCAAAAATCAAGGACTCTTCTGTTGATTGCAGACGGCACACAGTACGTTGTCCTCAAGCTGGTGAATAGGTTGGATTTTCTCCCTGACCGTCCCTTCTGCTCTCTAGTTTGAATTATCAATAAAACGGCTTGGCTTATCTCTGAAAATAACCTTGTTGACAACACAAATATGGACTTAAGCATGCTACCTCCACATTTAAGATTTAAGCAGACCCCAGTAAATGTCAGGGGGTGTCAATGTGTTTGCTGTGATACTTGGTTATTATTAGTGTTTAACTGCGATTCCCCACCAGCGCCATGCCACCAGCACCACCATAAATTTTAATGTGATCATGTGCTCTTCTCTTTCCATATCCAGTGAATTCTGCAAGATCATAATAGTCTGTATTATCCCTTGCTGAACCTTAGTGTGATATGAAAGGAGGACAAGATTTCTAGCAGTGATAGTTGTTCATCATTTTATAGTTTTTGTTTTTTTGTTTAAAACTGGACACTGAGCAACATGGTTCCTTGAATAATATTCCCCTAAACTAAATGCACTCATTCAATTAATCTTTATTGAGCCCCTACAGGATGCAGGGCATGGTCCAAAGTGCTAATGAGTACATTTATGGGATAGTAAAGAATACTGACTCTTAAGGACCCCCCTCCCCCGCCACCGGAAAATCTGTCAGAGCTCATACATCATTTATAAAACTGAAAAATGTCTTTGCAACCCTAGCACTATTACATGCCTTTTATCTTACAGAATACAAACAAAAGCACAGTGCTTTTCTATATCGGGTCCCCATCATGAATATAAGAAATGTGTCTGTCATCTTTCCTTATGGGTGTGCTTGAGGGAATATTTATTCTACATGTGCCTAGAAATAAGGAAAATTTGTACCACTCATTGATCCGTAGGCTTTTATTCTTCACTTTAATTACAAATGATAACTGGCACTATTTACCATATTTATCAAAAGAATTCAGAGTTTGGTAAATGTGAACTATTTAAATGCCTATTTAAAAGCAAAGGAAAACATTCAAGCTTTTATCATATACATGTGAAAGTTCAGGCCAGATACACGGAACAAATTAAGAAGTCATCAGTATGACTCCGAGTGAACTAAATGTCCATAATTTTATACCAAACTACCTGCCCTACAATTTTAATTTCTAAAGAGACAAAACTGCTTCATTACTGAGATAGATGAGCCTGAATGCTTCTGCAAAATGCAATTCTGAGACAATAAATTTATTTTCCACGTGGCAAGATTTTAGAGTCGAAGCTTAGGAAGCTGGTGCATAGATCTACAATTTTCTTGTCTTGTCGTTCACAGGGCCAAAATGTGTGCTCAGCAGTCACACACACCTAGGCGGCTTCCCTTTCCCGCAGACAATGGCCTTAGGAAAATAAACAGTCACATGTTTAAGGTCACACAGAGAACCTGCAGAGGCAGCCATCATAAACTGTGCCCGTCCTGATAGCACGTTCTCTTTTCAGACAGACTGGTTTTGTTGGAAATATATTTATTTGGTGGTGGAATGTGTGCCGCAGTGTCCCCTGCGCTAGGAGAAAAGCACTTTTAAGGAAGGTTGATAAGGTTTTCTCCACCGGTTTCTGGCAACTGGCTGGGAAATTTTGCCTTGGAGCGCCATCTAGAGGAAAATTTAGCACACATGCGTGTTTCTTGGCTTTGAGACCCAGGCTGGTGTATAGACAATTCTTTTTCTATATTAATATAATATTTTGGGCCTAACTCATCACATATAGATAAATATGAAATTCCTTGAATATATATATATATATTCATGCATACTATTAAAACAAGGAAAGACCCTGGTAGTCTTCAGGAGTGTCTGAAACATTGGTACCCATCCATGGAAATAATTTGGGTATCATTTTGTTATAGACCAAATTGATATTTCACAAATTACAATTGATGAGTAAATTAAATTTATTTTCATCTACATTGATTCAATAATCTTTTTCTCTTCATAATTATTTTCTTAATTAAAGATTTCTGGCTTACCAGATTGTCCATTGTCAAGTTGGAAGATGCACGTGTTAGAGACAAAATTTAACATTTTCAGCCTATTGTAATCTTTAGTCACGTTCAGAAAAATGTAATGAGTAGCAAATAACTTTTGCAGATGTGGCTACACAGCTCAATATGAGGATAAAAAAATAGTATGCGTCACTGTACCCTTTTTTGAAATCCTCCCCATCTCCCATTAGAGAACTTTAACAGCAAACACTTCTATTTTTGCAGTAGCGTGAATACAAAAACAAAACCGAAACTTTTTTCTAACAATAACAGTCTTTAAGTTTGCTGAGCACATGTAAAAATAGATGCTCTCTTGAAATTTCTGATGGTATGAGATGTCAGTGGTGGTCACATAGTTTGACAGCTCTATTTTCCTCATTTTCTTGAAAAGTATCAAGATTGCCCGTAACATGAATGAATATTCACTGAGAAAAACTGAGTATATGTTTCCTTCTATTCTAAGGGTTCACCCTCAACCTGTTGCCCTTGCCACATTCCCACATCTCAGCTACTTTAAGACTTTCCAGGGGCCAGGGATATAGCTCAGTGGCACATGTGCCAGCCTGGCAAACACAAGGTCCTGAGTTCGATTCCTCGTACCAAAAAAAAGGAGAAAGAGTTTCCTAGGACTTTTCAGAAATATCTGTCTCTATCCTTAACATCACTGATTCACAGTGTTACAGCTGATCCTATTTCCTTTGCTGAACAAGGCTTTTGCCTGCTTATTTTGGCCATTCTGTAAATCCACGGGCTCTCCAAACAGTCAGTTAATATGTGAATGCCCTCTGTGAGCCAAACACCTGAACTCTGCACACGAAGTTCATGCTTCTTTTCTACTGAAATCTGATAAGGAAGGCCGAAATAAGGTGTTTGCCTGCAAGCGGTGTTGGTGCTTTGCCTCACACTTGAGGCGTCTTCGTCCCACCAATGACTGGCTGCCCTCTCATAATGTGCCCACCAAGGGACGAGTCCACTGCAGGTCTCCAGTGAGGCCCTCTGTTCCTTAAGCAGAGGAGGACCCACAGGGCAAGTCCCTGAGTAGAAACTGAAGACATTTTGGCCCCTTCTCCTTGTCTGCCTTTTCCTCCACCTCCTCCTCCTCCTCCTCCTCCTCCTCCTGTTCCTCCTCCTTCTTTTTTCTGTACTGAGGATTGAATCGAAGTCTTTCACACTGAGCTACATCCCCAACCCTTTTTAAACATTTGAGACAGGGGCTTGCTGAGTTATGAAATTGCCCAGGCTGGGCTCACACTTGTGATCCTCCTGTAGCCCCCACAGTGCTGAGGTTACAGGCGTGTGCCATGCTTTCCCGTCTTCATCTACCATACAAGCATTTGAGTTCAAGTCAGTCTGGTGCACATCTGTTGCAGACCTACCGAGTACATGACAGAGTGCACGGTGCTGGGAGGGCCATCGACACACATGTGTTTAGTAAGTATGTGGATGTTGTTGAAAGAATAAGAGATTGTCACTTTCCTTATGCAGTTTACTCTAGGGGAGAATGAGAGATTGGTAACTTCAAATACTCGGTAGACAGATAGATGTGTGCTACTATATAGTATGGAGAAATGCAATTATTGATGCTTTGGGAGAAAGGGAAAAACTTTATAGAAAAACTGGCATTAGATCAGTGCCTTAAAGGATTAGTAAAATTAGAACAGGCAGAGAATGCGGTGGAGATTTTCCTGGAGAAGTAGATTTGGACCAGAGGAAATGTATTGCACCTGGAATTCCCTGTTTTGTGTCTAAACTTTAAGGTATGAAGACACAACGTTTCTGTATTTATATTTTAAGAATCCAGAAGTCACATTCTCTTTTTGGTATGGTAAATATGTTTGCAGATACGCACATACATGCATACATATATGTGTACTTATGCATTTAATACTGTGAGGCCAAAGATGCTCACACATGTGAATCAGAATAGCTTAACAGTGGAAGTGGAAGTAAAGGCAAAATAAGCAGTAATTCCTGCCAGTAAAAGAGGCTGAATGGAGGTCTGCCACAACCTTTGCCACAAACATCTGCTTTCAGGTTTAATCCAAAGGCTAGCCTCTGGCCCAGTGCTCTAGCTGTCTATCTCGTAAAATAGCTTTGCCACCAAACTGGTTAGAGCCCAGGGGCACAGGTTTTAAGTTTACTGAGCTTCTCAACCTGAGCACTGACTCCTATCCATTTTTTCTCCTGTGGGCTCCTTGGGTGTTTTCTTAAATAAGCATTCTCTGAGGATCTCCACCTCCCTACTGTGACTCTCCAGCAGCCTGTAGCATCTTATCGAGGGGTTGATTTATTCAGTTCTTCATCTCCATTTCCTCTGCAAAAAGATTACACTGGACGTCCAAGCATTTTTCTCGTAAAAGAACCAGTTTGCCAAGAAAGAACATTCAAAAGAGGTTCAAGTTCTTGCTGCATCCGCGTCAAAGTGTCAATGATTTTACAGCTTTAGAGTTCAGAAACTCTTTTCAAATCTGTTCTCCCATAATCAGGGCAGGTAAGGTCTACCTGAAAATAGTCCCAGGGCAATTTTTCAGAGAAATGGAAACATAAAGGAGAAGGCCTAACGGTTCCCACAAAGGGAAGGTGACCTTCTGCCATCGCCGAGCACACTTACGGTTAGCATGGCAAACATCAGTTGGCACACGTTGAAGGCGTGTCTCCAGTTATGGTACAGAACCATTCGGTAGTTTTTCCTCACCGTCAGGAGCCACCTACACAGTGTCTGGAATGGAAGGGGAGAAGCTGTGTCAGGCAGCGGATGTACACCCAGCGGACCACTATCAGAGCCCTTGCACCAACACCCAGTGTGAATCTCAAGGTATTCCTGTGAGTGTGCAGGGTGGGGATAATCACGCCCACTTTGTTTTTGAAGAACCTGCACTAACACATTGTCCCAGGTATGCTCCCTGGATCACCCAAGACCACATCTTACCTCATAGTCTATTTTAAATTTCTGTACCATCCCCAGCTCCATGAACATCCGGAGAGCAGCTGTGATCATGGCATCCACATCCAGGGAAAAGTCATCAAAATGGATGTCATCAATGGCCAGCTCAGACACCAGAGGGATGTTAGTTGCCTAAAAAAATGAAAGACATAAGTCGAACCAGGTTCACCAGGTTTCCCAAGCCCCAAGTCCCGCTCTCCTCCCCTGCTTATTGGAAGCGCCACGTAAATCAGGCCTGACCTGCACTTACACCCTGATACAGCTAAACTCTGAGCTGAAATGTCTTTTGTTTGTGAACTGCAAATGCCCCAAGCAAATGAAGCGAGAGGGGGAGGGAAGCTAATCCGAAGGTAAAATACATGCACTGGATCTAGTCCGCAGAATTTAGACTACAGAGCTATCGAGTTTACCGAAACCATGGTCATACAATATATTCTGATGCATATTACAGAGCACTAAACGCAGGAAACATCTGGGCAGCCAGCAGCTGTGAATTTTAATTGCTGTTATTCAAGAGGGGGAGGTGGAAAGACACCACCGTGCCTTGTTTCTTGTGTCCTTCAGTGCTGTAGCTTGCATGTGTTCTTTGTTACACACATATTCTATTTATTAAACAGGATGAAAAGAATCAGACAGCAGAGCTCTGGTGCCAAATGTGTTGTCTTAATAAAACACGGTAGAGATGTTCGGAGGGTTGGCACAAGCATATGTTCACTGAAGAGGTAAATTTTGCTATATTGTTTAACTTCGTTCTATGCAGACTTCATAGTGTCATAACAATACGGGTCATACACATGCAGGGTTCCCACAATGCCCATATTAGGCAGCTGTCAATCAACTGCCCCACACAAACCTAAAGGGGAGGGGAAAAGCCTTTGGAAATCATTTTCATGCTGATGTCAGCAGATGTAGCATATCTTTTAGACCACTCTTGGTGAAGGAGTCTCTTTTATGTTTTCATGTTATCAGAGACCATTTTCTATACTGTATTCATATTCCTACTCTATTCTCTGGGTATAAATTACACTAGGAGTAATTTATGCCCTGGAACTGCTTCGGTTGAGCAATTAAATTCAACCCCAGTCAGTCTGAGCATTCCAGAAACCACATAATCAATCTTTTCTTCCCCATGCTCTCCTATAGAATTTACACATCTCAGTGACAATTCAAACACTGCTTATTCCCCCATAATATGGAAGAACAATGAACACATATGTAAATTTACTATATGTAATGTATACTATTTATGCAGTTTATATGATTGATATCTTATTAAAATTATAATTTACACAATTTGATCATGTAATGAAATATAATTAAGAAATATATAATATACAATTTCTACAATTTTATTAATATTAGTGTTCTCCTTCAGTAAATCATTTTACTATGTTAACATGTTTCTGCACTGTAGCTCCTTGCAATTAAAAGGTAAGAGCTATAAAATTCCAACCTGGTAGAAATTCTCCGTATGTGTGTGTGTTTGCTTGGAGTTTCTGATCTCCACACAAGCACTTTATTTTTTACTTTATAAATATTTTTAATGAACATTATAAATACACATAGTTTTAAGAGTAAATTAACTCTACAAGCTACTTACACAGAGAAAAACATCCACCGACAGACATATACTCTCACTCACACACAGAATTGGAATTCTTCTGGTACGAAAATTTTCTCTTACCCAGACGCAACTGCTTTCAAATCATCTAGATGGCTTTTGTGTATGTGTATCTGGCAAAGTCAGGTGCTTGTGATTTTATTTTTTGGTTTTTTTCCGGTACCAGGAATCGAACTCACAACCGTGCGCTTGCCAGGCAGGCGCTGTGCCACTGAGCTAAATCCCCAGCCCCTTATTTTTGATTATGTTCTGTTTTAAGTATTATCAATTAACTTCTCAGCACTGAAGATGAAGCTGTTTTATACTACATCTGCCATCCCCTTCTGCCTCATATGCTAACTTGTTTAACACCTTAATACACATACTTTATTTAGATATCATTCAGCATTTTATTATTATGACTCTGTACAGGATATTCATAGCTGTCATGCAATATAATGACTTTTCCTACTGGGTTAATAACTGTCTAATGTGTGCTTAGTTACCTATATACTTATAATTAATCAACCCTTAACCTCTTTAGTAGTTGTCTAAGTTTCCTCTTAACATGTTAGAGCTTTGGGAATCCCCCTAATTTCATGGAGAAGCCACTGCTAGAATTTCTGCATGTCTCCAACGTGGACTGCCTGCCTTCTATGTCTGATGTGCTATTTTCGTTCTCCAGGGGTGCTTTCATCTCTGTTTTATTTCTGTATCCCACACCTTTCTTTTTCTTGGTTTCCTGAGCCTTCTTGGGTTTGCTGACTTCATATCCACCCAACTGTGTGCTAGTTTCCAAAACTTTTTACTCTTAAGTTCTCTTCCAATCTCTTTGGCTTTGGGAATTTATGGCTTAAAAAATTCTTTTATTGCTGTCTTAGCAAGGCTTCAGGAGGGAACAAAAGAAAATGAATGTATTGAACCTACTATCCTTATCCACAAAGCACTGAAATTAACTTTATTAAATGATACCTGAAGCAATCAGCTTGGAGAACTCAGTAGTCCCTCTCTATGTGTGCATGGGTCTGGCTGCAAACATAGGGACCTCTTTCTCTTGTTATGTGATTGCATTTACCAGGCTGTCATAGGTCAGGCAGGAGCCATGTTTCTTTTCATTATGGAAGCTCCAGAACAACTCTACTCCCCTCACAGGTCTCAGGGATTTGCATATAGAGAATACCAGGTACACAGAAAAATCTGTGCTTGTTGTAATTTGTTCAAATTAAAATTCAGACAGAAAAAAGAAACCACTTCCCAAGAGACAGAACCTCTGTCCCAAACGGCACAAGACTTTCTGCTCTCTGGAGAGAAGTCTGTTCTAAATTCGTACACAAGGCTGAACCCTCTTACAGTTTGTCACCAAGGAACAGAAATGGCTATGGAGTCAGCATTGCTGCTCTCCAGGTTCCCCCTGTCTCGTAGATTACTGGTAATGTATTCCCTCATGCTAGTATAAATCCTCTACTCTACAGAAGCACTAAATTCACTTAATTGTCTTAAAAATTAAAGAATATAGGCATTTTTTCATTATGAAATGTTAATGGAAAGGAAATAAGAACATTAGATTGAAAAATGTAGGATGACCTCTGGTTCACCAAGCCCCAGCCTTATTGACCTTGTCTTTTTTTCCCCTAATAGGTTGATTGATCCACAGTTAAATCATACCAGTCTATAGATCACCCTGAGCCCTGCCATAAACCCCGGCTGGTACTTGTAGATGCAGAAAAAGTTCCAAGCCATTCAAAAATGACCATTTTCATGTATTTTGAGAAGTGTGGGTAGCTTTCATCCCTGTATCCTGGGTTCAAGAGCAGGTTCCAGGGAATAAAGAGTAGACAGCAATCAGGAGCTGAGTGTAGAGTTCTGGTCTGTGAAAGATCTTGGAACAGCCTTCCACTTCCAAGTTCTTTGTCCTAGAGATATATGCACCCCATCTCTTTGGAGAAACATAATGGGACTGCATCTTCCAAATGTCTAATTACTCTAGCCATAAGATATTAGCAAAACAAATCAAAGTCAATTTCTCTAAGTGTCAATCTTCAACTTTTAAATATTTATAAGGTGCCATATCCCTAAATCAAAGAGGAGTGTCACAATCTAAAATAACTACTGAATTAATAGCCAGGAAATAACATTTGGATAAAAGAACCATTTACTTTACTGCAGCAATAAATGAAAACACAGAATTATGAGTCCTAGAGCTAATTTGAATAATGTTCAAGAAGTAGGACTCTAGTTGGCTGGGAGTACCTAATACCCTTTGACCATTCCTCTTCTTTGTTTGGGTCTTAATAGTTAAGTGGTTATCAAAGGGAGTCGTAAAACTGCCTCTACTAAAATTGCAAAGGTAGGTTTACAAAGAGGCTGTAAAATGTTAAAATACAATCTTGGATCCCTTGGCCCATGAATATTCCATTTTGTGATGTTCAGAAAATGGGAAGAAACAACAAAGTGTGTAGTAGTCCAGCCCTGACAATTCAAAGGTAAAGGGACCTGTTGCCTTTCCAACCCACTCAGCCACTCAGTTCCAGGAACAGAAGCAGCGCTGGGGGCCTTAGGGTTCTGGGATGGATGGAGACAGGAGGGTGAGCTACTATATGGTGGTTGAAAGGGACAGCAAAGTTTGTTCTTTTGCCAACACTTTAAGAGCATTTATTATATGCCAGGTACTTATTGTTTTAGCACTTCATGAATATGAACTCATTTCATCCTAAGAAGTTGGGAAAATATAAAATCTCACCTTATAAAGAGGTAACTGAAATAGATGATAAACAAGGTATCCAAATTTGCATAGTGTGAGTGGCAGAGGCAGATTTTAACTGGGTCCCACTACTGCATTATCTCTGAATAGGAGCAAGGCCACACTAAGGGTCCCCCATTCCTGTATTATGCCAACTAACACGGATACACTAGGAAGGTACCTGGGATTTGGATGCAGAGACGAGCCTGTTGGTCTCTTTCTTCTGGTGAACAGACTGGATGCATTTGTCAGACAATGTTTCTGTTTTTATTTATACAGGCTTTTGAGGGAGATGTCTAGGCTTGGATGAACTCTGGTTGCTAGATTTGGATTGACTGGAGCTAATGCAAAATCACCCTATCCTCCTAAGACCATCCTGAAGAAGTAACTTGTCCTCTGGGGAGAAGGACAGGCTTCAGACAAATGACGCTAGCCGTGCAGTGATGTTTTTAAAATGTAGGACTAAAATCTTAGTGTTTTGTCAAAAAGAAATTAATTGAATTGCTTGTGTAGCTGCCTAGAACACTCCTCACAACAGAGCTGGGCTCCATTCCTACCTCTGACACCTACTTACTGAGCGGAGGTGGCCAAGAGGCGAAGTATTTTTGTGTAGTCAGTAACAAAACCATGCTGAACGGCTGCTGTGGGGGATGACTGAACCATGCACATAAAGAGCCTGGCTAAGTGCTCGGAACTTGGAATACTAACCAGCAGTGGCTGTGATGGCTGTGGTTGTTGGTGTGCTGTTATTATGCTCATTACTATTTTGAACATCTCCTCAGATCCAAGGAA